GTCTGGTCACTCATCTTTCAATTTCTTTTCATTTTTTTGTAGGTTAACCAATTACATTTTTAATTATTCACGAAACAAAATCACCCCCCAAAAAGTGATTTTTCCGAAGTCTGACTGCAGCCATTTTTCAAGTGGCAACCCTCAACTTTCTCGGACACTTAGGACCATTTTTCAGCCGTAGTTTTTAGCCCTTCTGCCCTCATATGATAGCTCAAAGACCTAGGGAGTTGATCCTGGCAACGATTTACACAATCTCACCATTTTGGGGGCCAAGCAGTCTCCTTTTTCAAAACATACTGTGGGGGTACGTTTAATGCTAATGAGCTGGTCAAAAATTCTCACTTGAATAAGTGGTCTGCACCCTCAAGTAATTACTGGTCATCCAGCGCCCTGATGGCCTTGCACAGATTTTAGTGAAGGAAAAACGCCACACGGGGTCACAGCTAACGACGCACAGAGCCTTACGGGTACTTTATTTTTTGCCTGGCGCTTGAGCTCGCTCAATGCGTTACACATAGGCCTACATAAGCGGCGGTTACCAATTTGTTCTTCGTCTTTTTCTTCCCCATTGTGGAAAATATTCTCACTACACTTTATTCGTTCACCCAAAATTGATCAAGGTAACCGATAATTTGAAATATATTGCCGAAAGACACGTAATGAGTATTGAGTAATACTTAGTGAGAAGATAAATTACCACACTGTGATTGTACCAAGGCCATGTTTTTATCATATAGCTGACACTTTGCCTGTGCCAAAGCATTACCATTAGCGACCAAAAAATAATTTAAATAATGCTTCGCTATTAAACAGGAACTGATAACCGGATAACCCGTAACGGGTCGTGCACAATGTAGCCAATCACAGAGCCCTGTTTTGGGTGATGGGTGACAAGCGAGGTGCAAGTACATGTAGTACAAAAGAATCTCCTAACATGGACGTGTACACAGACTCTTGACCGATCAGAATCTGTTAAACTGTCTCGTATCCAGACGCGGGTGCATGATTTATACAGTGGGCATTAGCACTTCTCAGCGTGCATAATCAAATGTTGATACACTGTCAAGTTGTACGGTGTTGTATGGGGATACTTCTAAAGTATTTTATGGGCCATCGCTTAGCTAAAAATGTACTTACTACGTCTATCTTGTAACATGTAATAAATACAGCTCCCAATAAAGATTAGCACCCTCTGCTTTATGGGTAACAGGAGTCCCCGTTATGACCAATTTATTGTAATGGCCTGTTGTTACTTGTTTCCTACAACCAGTTGAAATACACTTCTCAAATGATAATAAAAATTGTAATAAAACAGTAATGAGATGAATAAGAATTGAAGCAGTGCTATTTGCATATCCACCTTATAACTGACATTAGTTTGACTCACAAGGCACTACATCGTATCAACATAACCCCCAAAAGCTGATACGAATTAAATTTTACAAACTGTTCAATATGGCAATACATGTACTTGCTTTTAATGACAAGGAAGTTAAAGGTTATATAAATAACAGGTTAATGGTTACATGAATAACATGCTACAACCTGAAAAACCAGCCAGAATGTGGGGCCAACCGCGCTGCCCCGTAGAAAAACAAAGAAACCTGAAGATTCAGGGACTCCTGCAGGGGAAATCAGAGTGCAGCAGGAAGAGGGAGGCGGTGGGAAAATTGTGAATAAAATGACCAGAATAGTTTCTAGATTAGCGTGAATGAAACTGCCCGAGCGCGGGGAGCATTGATGACGTTGTTGGACCACGGATTGTGCGAGCCAATCGGCTACAGGGATGATTTCATCGCTCCGCCCGTAAAAACGATTAAATGTTAATCGTGTATTTATGAATAACTAACTTTCAAGACCGGCTCAGGAGAATGGATGAGACTAATGCCCGAGTCGCTCGTTTAAGACCGGCAAAGCATACCCTTATTGAAAATTATGCTCAGTCAAACGAGACTCAATATTATCTTGCACTCGGTGGAAGTTTTATTGTCAATATCGCTGCACGTTTGGCTTCTACCCCATGCCCTGTGAACCATGACGCATAACCGTTGGAAACCCATATAGGTCATGCTCTTCACAGTTGCAAGTCTAATACTGAATGCTTTTGAGTGGTGTCTCAAACTCAAAAGTCTTAACAAAAATTTGTTTCTCAAACAAAAGATATCTGATCATACTTATGGCCCATCGATGCGAATGAATCAAAAAACACATTCTCATATTTAGTTAAGTTCAATCTTATATCCGCAATATCGGCAGAATTTAGAAATGTTCACCCGCTACTAATTCGTACATTTTATAAAGATTCTTGTAAGATTCTGAAAGCTGCGCATTGTTTGCATGTCACGCCCTTAGACAAAGAATATTCGTAATTGTTTGGTTTCCTACAAGAACGTATATACAGCTCAAACTAATTTATCCGAGTATGCACAACTAACAACCAAAATGACTGACGTGAACTTTGATCTTTAACATTACTGTCTGGCTACACAAAGCAGGTCTGGTCCAACCTTGTACATATGTCACGTTTTTTAAGTCTCGGAACCTTTTACCCACTGAACAACACGAATCTGTGTCAATAAGACTAAAGTCTGTGTGAATTAAAAGGGCATTCACTTTTAACACGGTTGCTTCCTGTTCCTGACAGCTGAAGGGTACATAGTTTGCATCGCACAACATGAAGGTATATAAGTAGTATAATAAAGGGGGTCGCTTGGCACAATCTTGGATCCCCCATACGGCAACGAATACCTTTAAAAAGATTCTCCACGATTCCAAGCCTTTACAGAAATGGTTTTCAACGTGATTGGTGATGCTGCAAGCAGCCTCAACGTGCAGACTGTGCTCCTCTTTGTCGGTATTCTGTTGCTGACTCTCAGTCTCACCTGGATGCGCCATCCACGAAACCTACCCCCAGGCCCGCCAGCATGGCCGCTCATAGGTAACACTCGCGGCCTGAAGAAGGGCCCAATACACCTAGTTCTGGCTGACTGGGCAAGGCAGTACGGGAGTATTATGAGCATTTGGATAGGATCTTGTTTAGTGATAGTTCTGAATGACATCGGTGCCGTCAAAGAAGCTCTGGTCAAGCAGGCAGACTGTTTTTCTGACCGCATAAAGACTGATGATCCACAACATAAAGGTATATTAGTAGTATAGTAAAGGGGGTCGCTTGGCACAATCTTGGATCCCCGTATACCGCAACGAATATTATTTCACATTTTTCACCAGTTCCGCTTCTCTCTCTTTCTCTCTCTCTCTATATATATACACATATATACATATACATACATATACACATATATACATACATATGTACATATATATATATATACATATATGTACATATATACATATGTGTGTGTGGCGTGAGTGTATATGAGTTTGTTTCTGCATTCAATTGGGAACCTTGAACAATAGAGGACAATAAGGTACCCGATTGACAGAGGGTCCCCGATTGACAACTGTGTACAAAACATATTGGTGGTCTTGTAAAAAAGTTTAAGTACAAACAAAAGAGGAACAATAGGGGGTCCCCAGTTGCAGGCAAATACACACTTTATTGTGTGTGTATATATATATATATTTATATGATGTCGGTTCATTTCAAGCACCAACGATGGTATGAATATTCAACCTCCTATACTGCAGTACACAACGTTTTAGGGATGCAGATTACCAACCAAAAATTGCGGCGACGATCATGGGGTACAAAGGGAGCTTATGGTTGCAAAACAGGTGGTCGGTAGCAGGCGTGCGCTGCGCTCTGATTATGGACATACCGGGCATGCCAGAAAGTGGTAATCGGCCAGATGTTATAGTTTTGGCAGTTCAAAGTCCTTCTGTGTCCTTCCTCCATGCTGATACTGCATCTACTTGGAAATTCTGCAGGTCAAGCATTCTTCACGGAGGCTCTGTACTAGAAAAGTAGCCAGGTGCTGTTTATTAATACAAGTAAAGAATTTTCTAAGAGCTAACATGTGACCTCGAAGGAGGAAATTGGGTGTCTCCAGTTTGTTAGCCAAAACTAGGACCCGTCATTTTCATCCATCACGTGTAGGCCTGTCAATGGATTGTGTATTTTAGGAATAGACTACACACATCCAGGTTTAAATATTTATTTTTTCCGCGACATTTAATGAACTTCTTGAAGCGAGGATGAAGCATCACCGGGTTTTCATTGTCAAATGTTTTGTAGAAATGGTGTAGATTGTTTATCAGTCGTGCCATGGTGTGACAAAGTTAACAGTTATTTGGAACAACCTGGTTCTCTCTCCTTGGCAAGTAGGTATGCGATATGTCATTTGCTCTTGTAACGTGGAAGTACGGTATAGATGCACAACACATTATTACTGCCCTTTTATGTCTTTGACTGGAGATTGTACAATACATTTTTCAGTATGCATGCACTAATGGAATTTCTTCGTTAATGTTTCTTTGCGGGTTTGTGGTTTACACTTTCCTGTGCCACCTTGCCACCGGCCTGGCCACGCTGCTTAATAATTCAGTTTAAAACTGCCAATAAAAGATAAAAGTCTTGTATTTAGCTTATGCATGTGTATTGTTTAAAAACTGTAGGCCGTACCTTCCGATTAGCATAAAGCCACTCTTAACCCAGGTGCATACCGTCGCCACATTTAGACAGAGCAAACATGCAGTCTCGTGAAAGCTTGACAAATGCAGCTCTGGCGTTCGTCGTGTGCTTGACACACACAATGGCAAACAACAGTTAAAAGGAACCATTTTGGAAAATGTAGGCCTTCTCAATTTCATGATCTTTTTGACAATTTTCCATGCGCATGACGTTCTAGCAATACCGCGCGTACTGTCGTCCCCATCGCCTTTTACCCACAATGCACCACGGTAAACACAGCGTTATGTCATTATGTTTTAGGTGTACTGAAAAGTTCAAAAACATCTTTCTGACGAAACTGCCAAAAGATTTCCCACGATAGTTGTACCAAACTTTTGCGGCTACAGTATTTCCGTCTCTCTTAGATTTGAGGGCTAATTTTAGGAAAAATTTTATTTACCTGTATGGAAAAAAACGGGGCATTAACACAGAACATGAAATACGCTCTTCTGGATTTTCATAACTGTTACAATCTTAAATAATTGTCCCCTACTGCGATCTTTAAAAATATTTTTGAAAATTATGAGGTCTGTAACTCTTCAAAATTACTACAGGGAAGCATTTGTGCGACGAAAACACTTGATGCGTAGGCGTAAAATTCTTTCATAATTTAATACAGTCGGGAAAAGGTTGTAATAATGGAGCATGTTAATAGAGAGGTTAAGTTAAGCGTTTTCCGAGAACGCGTACGTCAACGCGTGCTGGAAGATCCTTGCAGTGCGCGTTGCCGTTCAAGTGCGCGCAAAAGAGTTTAAGTTGCAAAGTTTTTGTTCTTCTACGTAATCTGCACGTTCAACTATGGCAGCAAATGTTGAAGAGATCCCGTATTTGATGAGCGAATATACTAATGCTGATGATGACGACTTAATTTTGTTGGATTATGCCTAAGAGTGAAAGTGCCAAGAGTTCTTTGCACAAAGCTTGACATGAGCATCATGACACAGTGAATATGTAAGACTGTTCTGATTTACCTATGACCAAGTTAAACAGGTAGCTACTCCACTGGGAATCCCTCCTGAAATCACGTGTTACAATGTTGTTGCTGAGAAGATTGGCGTATCCAAAAAGGTTCGTTGAATATATAATTGAAAATTAAACTTTTTACAAAAAGATAGAGTATTCTAATTCAATGAGCCTAGCTTTTATTGATATGCATATACAAAGCAAAATAATCGATATGGTGGGGAAACTGTACGCAAACTTTAGAAACATGAATAGCTCCGTTTTGTCCAGAATCATCTGTGTTAATAATTAAGATTCCGCTACAATAGAAATTGTCAGATATTAGCAGGCTCTCCGGCCGCCATCCTGAAGAGCTATCAATAATAATCAACACCGTTCAAGACATAATATGGGAAAATAGTGGAGAAAAATTATCCGATCTTCATCAACCCTGGCTGTCTGGTTATTTGGAAGACTTTGCCATGCCATCCACCAGCGTCCGATTCGTCGTTCCAGAATACACCAAAAAGAGATGTACAGGATTTCTTTGTTTTATTTCATTTATTAAATGGCAACCTTACCGGTCATACAACAGACACACATCAGAGGGAATATCAGTGGCGAAGAACAATCTGAAATATGAGTGAATTGTTTTCATCCTATCTCCTCATTATGGCGTCACTCGCTATCCTACCTAATGTCTTTTGTTCGTCATAAAAATACGTCGGTAGAATCCCAATCAAACTGCTTCTAATAAATAACACTCATATATTTTTAGGAATATGACGTTTGATGTGTTTCTTAATTGATTTCATTTTCCTCCAACAGGTATACAATGGTCACAAGAGGACACACGCTCTCAAATACCAGTCGGTTGTCACCGCGAATGGTCTTACTGCCAACATGTTTGGGCCAATGGAAGGGAGATGGCATTATTCAGCCTGGCTAACCAAAAGCAACCAATTGACAAATCTGGAGATGTTCCCTAACCATTCCTAAGGGGAGACATTTTGCCTCTATGGTGATACAGCTTATCCTATCCGTCCACAGCTTATGGGCCATTCAAAGGAGCAACTCTGACAGAGGATTAGCAAATGTTCAATAAGAAAATAAGCAATGTTCGCGAATGTGTCGAGTGGGCCTTTGGGAAGGTTGTGTCTTTATTTGCCTGTGTCGACTTCAAGAAAATAAGATACTCTACAATCCGTTCGCAAAACGTACAAAGTTGCTGTTTTGATGACCAACTGCCACACATGTCTCCCAGGATCCCAAATTTCAAATAACTTTGGTGCCAAGCCTCCCACCACTGGAAGAGTATTTGACATAGTGTTGTACTAATAGATTTCCACAAGCATTTGAGTCAAAGCTTTTCACTCAGTGTTCAAATACATAGTGTTTTATTGATGTCCTCTGCAAGGTCCTGGTGTCTATCATCTTATATTCATGGAATAAGCAATAACTATACAGTAAATAATAATATGATTCAACTTAATTAGTCGTCAAACCATTTGGGAAATGTCAGCCAAGTGAAATATACAAATATTCTTAAATATGTGAATAAATTGGATATTCTTGTCAAGTCTAAGTGTCTTGGATTTACTTCATAAGTTGTCGTCTCAAGAATTCCAAAATCACCTTTCTGTCCTCGCTTTCTGCTTCCATCTTCTTTTCCCTTTCCTTTTTCTCAAGCTCAAACTATTGAAGCGTTCTGCGGCCCCCGACCGATCGCTCGGGGGTGGCAGTTCGTCCGCCAATGAAGAGGGAATTGGAGGCCAGACAAAAACAGAAAGCTGGCAGGCACAAGACTTGGGTACTTATAAAATGGCCTGGATTTCCTTAATTTCGGCGTCACCAATGAAAACTGTTTGGACAATATGTGTAAGATGCTACAAATATATGATTCTCAGTGGAGCCATCACCACGTCTCTCCATCCAGTTCTCTAGCAGCTGCAGTCTTTTCCCAAAAAACCTCGGAAGCCCGCCAAACTTCTTCAGTCTCGCCCAAAAGTATAACATTGTAGGCCACTTCCGGCCGACTGCCATGACATCTAGAAAGTACTTTGCAAGTGAGCACGTAGGGCCTTGCTACAATCATGCGTTGCAGACAAGCCCAAGGTTCAAATGTCACATAATTCGCTGATATAACTGGGGAATTTCCAGACCTCTACAGTAGAAATAACAGCAACAACATAAACACTCCATACGGCTCATTTTTATAAAATTTATTTCGGAATATTGATAAGTGTCCACGCTCGTATTTTCTGTCACCATTGCTTGTTAGGCAGCATTATCATGTCCAACGGGAACGTCTGGAGGGAGCGGCGTCGCTTTGGGTTGAGCGCCCTACGAACTCTCGGCATGGGCAAGAGAAGCGTGGAGCACAAAATCAACGAAGAGGCTCGCTATCTCCTGGAGAGCTTTGACGCCCGAAGAGATAAGCCCTTTGACCCCGAGCACGACATCCTAAATGCAGTCTCCAACATCATCTGCATGATTACTTTCGGCTACCGATTCGAGTATTCTGACCCCAAATTTGCTCAACTCATCAAACTGATCAAGACCAACCTATCCAGCTCATCTTTTCTGTCAGTTAGTTTCTTACATTACCTCTTCAACAGGTCTGAACATGTCGAGAGACTTAAAAGGTTTGAAAAAACTGCAGCCTTCATCCAGGGAATCGTTGAGGTTAGTGGCTGCACCATTCGTAAAGAGTACCAAAGTGTGACGTCACTGTGAAACGGAAAGTGCCTTTGAGTACCAAAGTGTGATGTCACTTTGAACCAGAAAGTGTAGTGCAAACGAATGGAGTATGTGTGCGTGTTGGTTAACGCGTTGGTTCTCCCTCTAATGCCTTTTACGCACACACTCGTGCGCTTGACGTAGTCACTTCGGTACTCTATATACAGTTGGCTTGGCAGAATACCATTTGGTCTAGAAGATTATCATTTTGTGCGATTACTAAAATGTTTTGCTAGGAATGTGACTTTGAAATGACATCGTAAGGCATGAGTAATGATGTCAGTATTCACAACAATTCACGACTTTAAAGTCTTGTGTTCCTGCAAAACCAGACAGTTTAAACGATTCTGACTGGTCAAGAGTCGTGTGCACGCGGTTCGCCGCATGCGCACCAAGGCCATATAAGGAGATTCTTTTGGACTACTTGCACAAGAATATATAAAATGGACAGGGGTGTTTGGAAAAATGAAAGTAAAAGTCTAGAGCGAAATCGTTGGAAATTCATCATATATTGATTTCCTTTGACTTTCTGACTGAACAGGTATTTAGGAATGGGGATGAATATGTGCTTGGCCAGTCTTAAACTGACGTTTCAGACCAGCTCAGGAGAATGGACGGGACTAATGCCCTAGCTGCATCGACCAAGCGCATATTTATTCCCCTATTGACATAGAATAACAATTCCTTCAAATTTTCTGCCCGTTAATGGCCCCTACATTCGAAGTCGGAACGGTAATGTTAATGTAGGGAGGGGTAACCAGCATGAATGTTGAAATATCCCTTCTGAGAAGAGAGCCCCCCCCCCTAATTCTACAGTGACCTTTTCACAAGGCACAGGCGAGCAAGGAGGGGGATCTATAGTGCTCAGATTTGTCAATAACCTACGGTTATATTTGACTTTTCCTGCAATTCTGAAAGGAACACCGACACTCGTTCGACCCTAACGACATCCGGGACATCATCGACATGTATATTTTGGAAATTAGGCAACATGAACAGATGGAGAAAGTCATTGAAGGAGAAGTCGCCTTCCACGAGAAAACAATGTGGCGGGGTATCCGAGACTTCTTCGTGGCAGGCACGGATACTACAACGAACACACTGATGTGGCTGATTCTGTATATGGCTATATATGAAGACGTTCAGAAAAAGGTTGATTTGAAACCATAATTGCTTTAAAACGTATTATACAGTAGTATAGAACCAGGGTGGGTTTTTTAGAAATAGATGTGATTTATGGGCAAAGTTATCCTATATGTATATATATATATATGTATATATATATATATAATATGTGATTTAATACACATCTCAGAAGAAAATGAGGTCCCATCTATTTTTTTCTGCTAATGGGCCATGTTGATAAGTTTGATTCTTTGAATTATATTTGCCAGGTACAGAAGGAAATAGATGCCGTCGTTGGATGTGACAGACAGCCAGTGGGTGAAGACAGCAACGAAATGCCGTACACCAACGCAGTACTAATGGAAATGCAGCGTCACAAGCCTGTGACCCCAAATGCTGTACCACATCAGACAAGCTATCAAACGGAGATATTCGGTTATACTGTCCCTGCAAACACCAGTGAGAATGATGTTATATTGTTCGAATAACAACAAAATTTTTTCATTGTTTTTGTCATTTTCAAACAAGAAAACGAAATGCATATCTAAAATATCTAGCATTAGACTTGAGCAAGACTGGATTCGTATTGTTTTCTCTCCGTGTACCACGCGGGCAACATGCGCTGGCAAGCAAAGTATATAGGAGCACACAAGTAGTCTGGTTCCTTGATAACTCATAACCATGCACGCATGCGCACAAATGGTCTTGGCGTCAAGAAGTGTGAGCGGGCAATTGAAAACGCACAGGGGTGCGATTTTGATCATTTTTTCTCAGGTTTTCTACTTTTGTTCATTTTTTTCTTCAGAAATTCCATTAAACCGTTTTTGCTTTTGTTTCTAATCTAAGCGGGATGTTTAGTGCTCTGTAAAAAGACTTTAAAAAATCGTGATTTTTCCCGTGCGCACGAGATTGGCGTATCTAAAGCCAGTCTCCTTTCGTGCTGTTTTATAGCCAAAACAATTTAATGGGAGTTTCTGAAAAAAAAACAACAAAGCCAGAAAACCTCAGAGAAAACGATCAAAATCGCACCACTGTACGTTTTCAATGGCCCACGCATGCTTCTTCCCGCCCAGGCCATTTGTGCGCATGCGTGAATAATTATGAATTTATTAGTAAAAGTCTACGTTGCCACAGGTGTACCCACTCACAGGGCTCTGTTGGTCCCCCCCCCCATCATCCTCAAGCTGAGCTGGCGAATATGACCGCCGACCATAACCTTGAACCTCGGGTACGTTGGGTAATGGCAAACCTGTTATATATAGTAAAAGTCTATTCTGCCGGATTCGTTACCCGCTACCGGTCCCTACGTTCAGAGGACGTCTGTAAAACGTCTGGAGACTACATACGGGACGGGAACTAGTCTATCCAATGGTGCCAATTTACCGCATAGGCGCGCTGGTTTATCCAGTTCGTAAGTGTGACGTCAATTCAGTTTAAACCACGCCCACTGCACATAGAGTTCTCCTTACCGTTTTTCTTCAAAACGGGGCAATAGCTTTGCTGAATCCATGTAGAGCCACGGGAGAAAACGGAGTGGCACAAAATCTGATAAACTCAAGAACCTGATCCCAAAAGAGCTGATTGAAGTTGTTCCAATCTGTATTATGTTCTTGGTACGAAGGAGTTTCTGTGCGCTTCAGTTGTGCTATGTGCAAATCAAGTTGAAAGCTACTTCCTATGGAATTCCATATCTGCAGTTGTCCGTCGCGCGTCATCCGTCGCCTCTTGCTTTTTGTTGTGTCCCAATTCCGCCCTTTTCCAGTTCCATATATGCAATTTTTCGTTGTCCGTCACCCGTCGTGCGTCGTCAGTCGCGCAACACCTTTCTGAAAATTCAACCACGTGTCTTTCAGGGAAAAATTTCCTCAAAAATGTTCAGGCAAACGTCTCCACAGTACAATTCACTCTTGCCTACTGTAAAAATGTGTTGACTTGTTGTCATGAAATTCTAGACAGAAATCTGCAAGCCTATACAGACATTCCATTTTTCCTGTCCATTTCACCTTGAAATCCACAAATACTAGACAGCAAATTGTTTTTGTCAATCGTGCTGGGGATAAGTAGCTGTTTATTGAATGTTTGGGGGCAATTATTACTTGGTTTCATTTTCAGAAAATATGACGTGTTGGTTTTTGTGGTTGTGTATGCCATGAGGGATAAGCTAATGAGTACAGGTAGTCCAGCATGTCTCCACTGTTCATGGGGCTAACAAAGTAACATTACTGTTTAAAAGACTTCTGTGTGCCTACGTGCAACTCAAGTCATGTCTAATTTTGAGTATACAGCAGATTTCATCGTCGGTATACCCGCCCTGAAAATAATGTTGAATGAGTTCGTCTCTTATAAAAGATATTAATTAAGGAATCAAACATTGTAAGTAATTTATTATATACATTCAGTTCAAAGTTACTCTTGTGTATTTCCGGGATATGATCTGCTTATGATCGTGGAAGGACAGACAGGCATGGTGGATCAATCGAACAAGTATGTGAAAAGATCAAGGGTCAAAGTGAAAAATAGCACTTTTGCAAGCGTAACAAAAAAAACCCAAAAACAAAAAATCTCAAAAAAAAAAAAAACGCGCGACGGACGACGGCAGATATAAAATGCCACAATTTCCAGTATGTGTAGCTGTTCTACGTGGTATTTGAGGAGCATATTTGAAAAAGACTTCGGGATAGCAGATGCACCCTTAAATATTTGTTTCATTATGATCAATCTAGCAACTTCTCGACGCTGTTTTAGTCTGTCCCACCCAAGGTTTGTGATCATATCGGTCACACTAGCCTCTCTACTAAAGTTGTTAATAAAGCGTGCTGCACGTCGTTGAACCATTTCGAGCTTATTGATTTATTTAGCCACGAAAGGACCACATGCTATAGTGAAGCGTACTCTAGGTGCGGACGAACGAGTGCTAAATAAGAAGTTGTAGCATCAGGGATTGCTGGGAGAAGTCACGGGATGGGGATTAGGTCATGTATAGCATTTGGTGGAACGAACATACACGTCATTTCTGGCCATTCTGTGGACAATGTACCACCAGTGAGTGTTAATAGTGAAGCGTCTTTTTTGGATCTGACTTCTTGACATTTGGCGTCGTCTGTTTTGCTGCCCTGTAACATGTTGGTACTTTGATGCCTGAAGGGCATAAAACCATATACCTTTACTTTTCCTCTGCAGTTGTCTTTGTGAATCTATGGGCCATTCTACGTGATCCCAAACATTGGAACGACCCAGAGAAGTTTGATCCCACCAGGTTCCTGTCCGGTGACGGCAAGACTGTGAAAAAACCGGAGGCTTTCATTCCATTCAGTTTCGGTATAACCAACAATCCTTGGCTCAACTTGTAAAAAGTTCTCCGTCGCTTTGCGTTTGCTTTGGTACTCACATCTCTCTAATCCCCCACATTATCTTTGGAATTTTTCAGAACCACTCTTATTCATGGGGGATGTGGGAATTACTTTATGGAGTCTTGTGCTCCTTACAAGTGTATGGCTAAATTTTAGCGCTTTTTACACGCTTTTGATTGAAACTAAATCGGTATTAAAACATTGAAATTCCCCTATTATATTGAAAACAAATTGGTGGTGGTGATCACCCCCCCTCCCGAATCTTCCAATGGTCACATTGGTTGCAAATCACACCTGTATTGATTCATCCTGTTGCTTAGTAGACAAAGCTTGAAATCAATGACATTTTTAACCCAGGGCGTAAAAGACTTTTCTTGGAACTATTGAAACAAAGCCATTTAACACATCGCTGCGTTTGTGCAGATATTTTCCCTCCAATGGCCTGAGATTTCCAGCAAAATAATACCTCTCCTCGAAAAGTCACTGCACCATCGAACTTCATATCCCCTGCGTTTTGGCTGCCCTGCAAAACTAATACTTAGCACACATATAAAAAGTTGAAATGCAATGAAAATGTCCTAAAATGTAAATGTAGGCGCAAAAGTCAGAAGGCTTTCGTGTTTTGCTTCCAAACACAGGTCGGCGCATTTGCATTGGAGAGACCCTTGCGAAGATGGAGATGTTTCTTTTCTTTGTCAACCTCCTTCAGCGATTCACATTCTCTTTACCTGCGGGCAAACCACCCCCTTCTCTGGAAGGAATTGTTGGTATCACTCTGGGGCCACATCCATATGAAATTGTTGCCAAAAGGCGCTAAATAACACCTCGGTGGCGTGCATTCTGAGAGAACGGAGGATATCCCTTCACTTTGCGTAGGATCATCCCCCTGACTTTTGTCTAAAGAAGCAAGAGAGTGTACCAGCAAAACAAGAAACCAAACCACAGATGCATTTGACATAACTCCCTGTGGAATTGCCATAACGAGGGCTATACTGTGCCTGTGTGTAATGTTTGTGCTTGCAACAAAAAGTGCTTCCTTGTGTTAGCTTACCACTGCTTTTTGAATTTACAGAGTTCGGCAAGGTTTTGGCAAATTTGATTTAATCATCTGTGAAATGACTTTGACCAAATCAAAACAGTCTGAAGGTAATTTTTTTTTAGATATGTATACTGCATTAGACTGCATTGGAAAGAGCAAATGGGGTTCTTATACCATAGAGAGTTGTAGCAACTAGATTGGCATCATAATGAAATTAGATATGTTTCGTGAGTGAAAATGTTATTATTCCTAATGGTGCACATTCGAGTTATAGGCGTATAGTTATAGGCGTATAACTTAAGAGTGCTTCCAGCGACTCGTAAATTATTCTGTTATGCTTCTAGGTAGTGCAGCCGAAATAGGGCGTGTAGTTTGACGTATATGATAATAAAAGTAACTGTGTTTCAAGAAACTTTAAATGATTTTTTCCAAAAAAGTGATTGCTGTCAATGAAGACTTTTCACATCATTCACATCAGAAAAAAAAATCATAGTTTGACTTGGTAGATACAGTTCAGTCGCAAACGAATAGTTATGTAGCCATTTCTTTGTTTCAGTTTCGTTTTCTTTGAAGACTACAATTAGCAATCTAATGCTTCCTTTGACATTACAGCATGCTTGGTGGCCATCTTAGCTGTATGTAGATTGGCTGGTGTAAACTTTTTCTCGAAAGTTTTAGATGTTGAGTATTTTCAACCATAGAGGAAATTATTTTTGCTCACCGGTACATAGCGGTCGTATCAAAGTGTCACAAGACAACGAAAACAAAACATCACAATTGCAAACATTAAACAAAGACCTTATACATATACACTTATATGTATGTGTATAATTATCAGTGTATAAAAGAAGTACCTGTAAAGGTGTAATTAAACATCAAGTACAGCCACTGCCATTTTCGCCTAATAAAAAACTCTGCGCTTACATTGTTAGACCATGAAAGATGGGAAGATAATTATTACTCTGAATGTAATTTTTAAAAATGTAAACACAGCTGTCAAAATTGAGGTCTAAAGTTGGAATTGTGAAATATGATAGCTCCAGATATGAATAATCGTAGTGATTGTTATCCAAGCTTTCGGAAGCCTCATTCCATGGGTGTAAATCCTTGGAACCCCCCCCCCTTTCAAATTTCCATTGCCGTGCAAGTCATCCTTCACAATTTCCCAGTTCCCAGCACAATACGCCGCTGCCTCATTTTAACACTTTGAGAAATGATTAGTCCGGTCAGAATTCCAAATAACTAGCAGATTAGATAGGTTATACCAAATCGAAGAGGATGCCTTTCTTTAGACAGTAGTGTTAGGCCGGCTCTACCTCGTCCTGACACTCACCAATCACTCTTTCAGCCTGCCGCACCAATTTGTTCCTGCGATCTTTATTGTTTATGCTTCGCGGGCATAGCCTTTCCTAATACACTAAAAAGAAATTCCAAACAGTACATAAAATTGAATTATAGATAGTTGTTAATATTGAGGGGTTCACTTTGAATGATTGCGGATTCCTCAGGCAGTACAGACGAGAAATATCTGATCTTAGTGAACTTCCTTTTCATATGTTGGTGTGTTTTCTTGTTTTAATCATATTATTAGACGCGTATTTTCTTCTGATAAAGGTAATTTTGAAAAACAGCTATTGCTGAACAATGTTACCCTGCGTGTTTTCAAATAAATAAATAAATAAATCTTCCAACAATACAACTGACACGATCATGCAACAATAATCTAATACTCAAATCGCGATAACCTTCATGCCCGCTCAGTCTGCTTAATTCTAAAATTAATCAACACCATGTGTCTATAGATCAAGTTCTAAATAATTACATTCACACTTATCCACAAACTGGTGAATCTGGTTAACAAAAAAAAACTGAACTGGAGCTAGGACGGTAACTTGTTGAACTCTGCTGATGTGAACTGTTAGGCCTAATTCTGAATGAATCTCTGATTCAGCTGAATAAATTTCCAACAAACTGAGTGCAGTCAGTCAGATAATATAGAATCCGGGATATTATGAGAAGCGCTGGTCACGTCCAAAAACGTTGACAAAGAATTATATGTCTGTATGGTTTTGAATGTGCAGTAAAGGTCAATGTAACCGTAGCAAAACTACATATATCTCTACTGGCTTCTTGTGAATAATAATACAGTTGGTAACTATGTCATTCGTCTACGCAAACTGCCATGCATGAACCAAGTCAGCTATAAATTTCTCAATAGGAAATTAAAGATAGACATTGCTCACCGGGAGATATTCTGTCGGCTTAACGGACGAATTTTCGGCCTGACTCAAAATCTGTAAAATAGATTCTACACAAATTTACTCAACAGAGAGGTCAGTGGCGAATCCAGCAATGACGAAAACGGGATATCGTCAGAACTTTCTGAAGGGTAGGGACGAAATTTTGGTAAACCCGAGCATACGAGGGGCATAATGCTGGTGATAACATGTATCTTTAAACTTATTGTATAACTCCAGTAGGCCTATACTTGTCATAGTATCTTTAGTCTAGATCCGTTACTAGTTTTGGGTTCGATTTTCACTTAAAGGCGCCTTTCCATATGCGTGTCAACACTTGTGCCAATTGGCGTTACGTATCCGTCAAAATCACTCCCGGGGCTATTTCGACGGCCGAACGCAACGCATATAGGGCCTACGTGCTTTATGTTAATGGGTCGAAAAAGTGAAACGCATGATTGCATTCTGTACGTAACGCAACCAAAAAAACCTACATAGCCATATGGAAGACGCCTTAAGGCTGGAACCGAATCTGTTGTCTAGAGCTACGTCTTTGTCTTCACTCCAGTAGCCAACTGTACTGAACAGCTGAGACAGACAGAAGACACTCATCCTTTCACCACCAACTTGCCCTGAAACGCCCTAAAGTCCAAGAACAATTTCCTCCACTTTGTTGAACCCTTCGGAGAAAAACCCTGCAAAGACTAGGTGCAGGCTATGGGAGAAGAGGCGTAAGCCTACTTAGAACTGCCACCTTAGGAAGCTGTCCCATTATTTTCGGTAATATTGTATCAGCTCCTGCTTGATTTGTGCATTGAGCAGGCTTCATTTCCTCATTAACAACAACAAACAAACAAACAGCAGAATACCGCCGGTTTCATTACCCGCTACCAGTCCCTAAGTTTGGAGGACGTCTATAAGACGTGTGGACACTACGTAGGTGACTGGAATCAGTCTAGGTCCAGTGCAGCTGTGAAGATCTGATGGCAGAAAACGAGAAGGCAATAGACCTTTTATTAGCAAATTCATAGTTATGCAATGCGCACGAATGGCCTTGGTGGGAAGAAGTGTGAGCAAGCCAATGAACCCAGATTATACAATGACAAAGCTTTACTTAATGGTAAAAAACGCTTGAGTTACACTTAGTTTAACTGGGTTTATAATTGTCAGACCTTTACTTGATCGGTTAATAGCAAAATTTACTCAACTGATAGCGAAATTTACTTTACTGGTAACAAAATACTTGTGTTACATTTAGCTCTTGCTGAGCTTATGATTATCAGACCTTTACAATGTCAATAATTATACATTCATAAGATCAGGGGGTGGCCTGCTCTGAAGACTATACTGTCCCCCACCACCCAGATGCGGCCAATACCTGAAACAGATTGAACAAAAGACAGCCAACAACATGCGACTGGCAGGTGTGTGGAAAGAAAAAGAGAGTTGACTTGCAGGGTAAAAAACTACAAAGGAGAAGAAAAGGCACTGCTAGCCCGTGCACGGCTGGGAGCCAGACTTTCTTGGGTCTAATGTATGACTTGACTGCTTGACAGGTTGACTGCTTGTGATTTCCAACGACCAAAGTGTTGGATTTGTGGGACCGCTACTCCGTTAAGGGCGGCAGAAGTCGCAGCGCCTTCGCGAAAGCTATGGGAGCTGAATCCTGTAGGGGGACGGCTAAGTCTTTGAGGCAGGACTGTAACATGCTATTGAACTGGTCGGCGGTGAGAGGGGAACCATCAAAGTGAACGAACAGTGGTTCTGGAATTGGTGGTCGCACCTGCAAGTACTCTATAAGAGCATGGGCAAATTGTGGAGTTGCGCTGCCTATGAAATTGCAAAACTACTGAATCCTCCCTTGGGTCTGTTTTTGAGAATCGAAGTTTTACAGCCATGACCGCCTGACTTAAGCCCACAAAGGAAAAATCATTGCGACTTAAAATCCGTGAGCAACCTGCAGCCTTTTCGGATGCTGTGAATTCCCCCACTCGCATGAACCCGAAGAAAGCATGTATGAAGGCACCTCTAAAGAGTGCAGCCTCGTCAAT